ATAGGTTAAGAATATTGAAGAATAATAATTAGTATATTAATATTGAATAAGTAATTTAAAATTAGTGTTTCCTGTATATATCCATCATACTCCTCTGCTGGATAAATATCTGTAGACAGATTATGATTTTCTTGTGTTCATTCATCATCCAAATGTATGCACTGGCATTTTTCCCCGTAGTTTGGACTTCAGCAACGTGCTGTATGAGGGCCTGTGCATTGTGCTGAAAATAGGTACTCTGTTGATTAGTGATGAGGGTTTATAGGAGATAACTTGCATAGATTCTTTTCCCTGAGGATTTCTGGAGATAAAGAAGGTCACAGAATCTTATGTCTATTTTAAAGATTACCATCAACACAGTGGATAAACAGGGTCAAAAATTCTTTATGTAAGAGTTAGCTCTCTAATATGCACTGTGCTTAGCAATACATGCTGTTTGTCCATAGTAAGAGTTCTAAAATACGTGTTGATGTGTCTATGCATAGGAAATATTTATAGTGCAAATACAGTGTTCATGGGACACATTTCTTCCTTCACACTCATACAGAGTCTTTCTTGGCTCTCGAATGTAGTTCATTGTGGACAGTGTGGCTTGTTCTCACTTGGTTCACTTATCTGCCTGTCAGACATTCTTCTCTTCCATGGGCAATAAATCTCTAATCTTGCTCAAATTATGCCTGTCTCATTCTTGCTGTCACCACATGGTGTGCTCCTTCATCCTAAGCATGGTCGCTACATGTAATAAGGAGCTATATTCAGAATGAATGTAGGATTCATATTACTGTAGACACCAACCTGCAAAAAGTCCATAGGTAAGGTCTTGACAGCTTGTACCATTTGGCAAGGTATGATGATACAAAGGCATTATTCTGTTTGTCACAGCTGGATTTGTGCTGTATGGATCATGTCATATTATCGAAGCTTCTTAATAGTCCATGAAAGAGGTACTGATGGCTAAGGGATTTTTCTGCACTGACAGTGAGAGGATGGTGACCAGTTGCAGTGGTTTGTTTAATAACTTGAAATGCATGTCACAGTTTGTCAAATTGCTCTTTATGTCCAGAGCCATCTTGGATTAGGGTGTATTGAGCATTTGTATTTGTTAAGCTATAATTTAGTTATAATCTTTTACTTCACATAGAACTATAAGCAATATGAGGTTACAAACTAAAATAATAAAACAAACCTTTCCTTGCTGGTGTTGCTTCTAGCTTGCTTTCTTCTAAATAACCCTCAGTGACAGTAATTTTTCTTGGAAGAGTTAGCTACTTCTATTCTGCTACCATTGAGGACAACCTTGCTGTATTTTGCTTAATACTTCTCCCAAATCTGTCTGCAATGCCTGCTAGTAATGTATAAAACCAACTGTGGTCTCTTCCTCTTGCATGGCCAGTTTGTTATACTGTGTATGAACCATCTTTGTTGCTGCCCCTTGGGGACTGTTTCATGAGTTGGATTTTCATCAAACCACCTGAAACTCAGTTCTGTTTATTGGATCTTTATGCCTCTCCAATTTTTCAAGCAACAGGTGATTTATGCCCTTCCTACAAGACTCTGCAGCATTTTATTTGACTGAGTTAGTTTATGTTGTGCTTCCAGATCTTTAACTTTTGTTTCCAGAGCAGTATATTCATCAAACCACTGTTTTTCTCTCAGCATAGCAAAGGTTATAATTCAGTCCTTAGGGCCTCCCACTAAGTTCACAGGGAAATATTATTCTCAAATAATAGGACTCTTTTTTTGCTACTTTATTTTAAAATGGACTTTTCCTAATAAGGAGTTATTTAAATCTCACTTTTCAGAAGCGGAATAGATGGAAGACAACATTAACTACAGGAGAACTGGACCATGACTTGAATGAGGAGAGGGAGAGCAGAAGGATCAGGCAGGATAAATATGACCTGACAGCAAACATGATGATAGAAGGGCTGGGGAAAGACTGCATCTGTTAAAGTCCTTCACGTTAAGTCTTACAGAGATCTTAAAATGAGATCTTTCAGGATCTCAAGGTGATTCTTAGCTTTGCTTTCATTCCTTGTCAGACTCCTTATGCTTCTGCCATTGCTCCTTTCCTTTCTCCCTCTTTTTCTTGCTCTTTTCTGCAGTTATCTTTTAGTCCCAGATAGAATATCCTACTCTCCTCCCCCAAACCCTTTTGCCTGCCAACATCTCACATCTTTCAAATTCCTCCCTAAAACCTACTTCATCAGGGAATTTTCACTCCTTATCCAAGCCAGATGCCTTTCTTGCTCAGAATATTTTTTCCATATCTTCTCTGTCTTAAGACCTGGATATCTGGCAGTTGAGGTTTATCAGTAATTTTCTTTCTTGAGACAGAGTGAGAATTCCTTATGGCTTCACTATTTTGACAGAAATAGCCTGAGGGTCCCTCTATCCTGCTGTTGCCGTTCAACAGCTTCCCCTCTCTTGAAAAAAATGTGTCAGAGGCAGGGGAGAGGGCAGGGATGGCCTTGATGATGGCAAGGCAATGGCTTTAAGGACTCCGAGTTTCTAGGACTTGCTTTTCTATATGGTATAAAATTGCCCGAAATAAATAATGTTCCAAGAAGACTGCAAAAGCATCTTCTTGGTCATACTTTCATGAAAATTAAAGATATGTATTCAATACTGTTAAGGAGATAGACAAGTAGTTCACTGGAAAAAGAAATAGTCCCATTCAAATCTGCTGGGATTTTGCTGTACATTATTTACTCAGGCACGCACTGCTTGGGAGAACTATATGAAAAATATCACCATTTCAATCCAAATATGAATTAAAAATTTAGCAATTACTGCTGACTGTAGCAGTCAGTTTTCAGGGGCTTTGAAAGGAAGTGCAACAAGGTCATTTCTCTTGTTAATTTTTATTCTCTGTGAAATGTTGACTACAACTACACTAACGTTACAAGCAATATTTACATACAGATCAACTATTGCTCTTCTCATCTTTCACCCCAGTAAATTTTAATGGTGCTGCTTTGGCGTGTAACAGGAGTAATAAGATAGTGATTAAGCCCAGAAAGAAAGGGCTTCCTTTGTGGAGTTTAAGTCCTCATTTATTCCTGCCCAGACTGGGTGATCACAAGCCATGGTACCCACATGCAGATACAATGCAAAGAAATAGCAGATATTTCACTGTCAGATGGAGTGAATACTGTGAACACAGTTACAAGCCCTCTTAATTGTGAAAGGACTTTTCTTGAGAGAAATCCACTCCTGACCTTGACTCTGAGCTAGTAACTGGACGGTTGAGCTAAAAATGGGACCATATTCTGAAATTCTTCTGGTTTGGACACTTTGCCATGCACTGTCAAGTAATGTGCTTTTGCAAGGCAAACTGGACTACACAATTTATGGAGCCCTTGTTTGCCTCTTTCAAACATATCTCAAGTGCTTTAGGCAAACACTCACATGTTGAATTCCTTGAATATAATAGATGCCAAAGGGTGTATCTCTTTATATTGGCATCTCTTGGGAACAACCTCAGTGTGTCACCAGATTAAGCTAAAGGTATACTTGGCTCTGATGCAAAAGTTGTGTGTTTCACCTTGGTTGAATGACAATATTTGCAAACAAAAAGTAAAAAATTTTTCAAAAACCAAAAAATGACTTTACAAAAAGTAAAAAATTTTGCTCTTCTCTCACTCTCTCTCATGCCTTATACACACACGGAGACACTTCTCTTACTCAAGGCTTTTAAAAAAGTAAGAACTTAAAGTCACTACTAGATGCCACATTTTGATCACATGGAGACATTTACATTGACAAAACAAGACCATTGCCAGTTTTCTTTTACCTGTAAATATGAGAAAGACTGTCAAACAAGAACTAAAATAGATTTACAGTATTGCTGAGAACAGTATTAAAATAGTCTAGGCATTGTAAAGAAGAATACATATATGCATGCAAGAATTGAGTTGATGTTTCTTCTATACCCTTCTATTTATGTCGGGTTTCCCTTTCCTTGGGTTATATTTCAAAGTCATTCTTCACTTGTGCTTGCAGTTGCATGCAGCATAGCCTGGTAGGACTGGATTTGCAGTCCTATGCTGCCAAACGACACTGTGAGGAGATGAGAACCAACTGCCTACATAGTACACGTTCAGAGTAGAGTTGCTTTCAGACTAGCCCTAGTGTGCTGAATCGTTATTAGTGGCTGGATCATACCAGACACAGGCCAAGTGTGTGTCTTCTGGTTTAGTGTAAAAGAAAAGGCACCCAATTTTCCTCCTCTGTATCACTTTTCCATGTGAACCAAAGAAGGTAAATGGCATCCTGGCTTGTATCAGAAATAGTGTGGCCAGCAAGACTAGGGATCGTCCCCCTGTACTCGGCACTGGTGAGGCTGTACTTCAAGTACTGTGTTCAGTTCCAGTTCCAAGTTATATGCAGGCATATGAGTAGAGTGAAAATGGAGCGGGTATAAATCACAAAAGAGACTGGCTTCCCTCACTTCCCTTTCTCTTCTTTCCTTTCAATATTTCTTGCTTGTTATCTGTTAAGACTTTTTTGTATACTTATCGCTATAAAGCCAAGTGCTGACTTGTTGCAAATTGTCCAGTGTTCTGTGTGCTCATAGTTTTCCATTTATAATCTGTCAAAGAATTAGGAAGTTTTTTCTCCATGTAGCCAATATAGTATACTTCTGATGACCTAAACACACGATTGAGACAGTAGTGACTCCTTAAGTATGTAAAATATGTGCTATGTAGTGCTCAGTGGCAAACCAGTGCAATAAAAATGACTAATGAAAAGTGCAATACTAGGGTTTAAAGGTGGACTTTAATATTGTCTAATATTATCCAGATTACATTTGTGTAGTATGAACAAATTCAGCAGTTTAAGAAATATATCTAGAAGAAGTCTATTATTTTTGAAAGACACAGAAAAGCATCTATCTGCTAATTACTAATAAGTGCTTTTGTTAAGGCCACAAAGAAAAGAAAATGCAAAGAGAGCTTGCCATCTAGCATTTAGAAGAACACACAAATTCAAACTGTACCTGTAGAACATATTGGAAAAGGAACATTTTCATAGCACTACAGAGGTGTTCCATGGAAAATAACAAATAGTTATTTCAGGACGTGAATTTCAAAATTGGTTAGCTGTGTACCAGACCTTAAGGTTTCCCTTTCTCAGTTAGTCACATTAAAAATTTCCTACATTATTTATATTGTTAATGTAAGCAAGTACCTCTTGTACAATCAGAAAGCAAAAGGTTAGTGAATAATTTGGGATATATGACTTTTCAGAATTCAGATAACCTTTTCAGATTCATTTGAAGATGCTGAATTCTGCACCTCAATCAGCATTATGAGTTCTTCTGTGGGATTTTGATTGTGACAGTCTTAACTTCTGTGTATTCATGAAGGCCATATTCACCCCTAGAGAAAAGAGAATGAAGAGCAATATTTAGGCTAATGCTTTTTACATGAGTCATGTCCTGGATGGGATTTTTGGTGGTGCTGTGCAATTGGCCAGATGTATAATAAGAATACTGGATGTATTTGGAAGAAATTTGTGCAGCTAGACTGCTACTGGAAGCCTTTTGAAAAACTACAACAACTGTGTCCCAAGAAAAATAGGAGAGAGAGGGCAATTTAACTTTTGTGCAAAAGAATGGTGTTTAATCAATTTAGTGCATTTCTAAACTGGGTTTCTGCGCAGCAAATCAGGCACATGTTAGGTCTTCACAAACATGCCCAACAAGTTATCTGCAAAAGTCTTCCTCTGATGTCAAGAGTTTTTTCTACAGTCAAAGAATAGACATTTCGTCTCAACTAAATGGAGGACATAATTATTCCACTATGAAATCTCTCAGACAGTGAAAACCACTTATATCTTACTGATATGTTATTAGCATGATTCCACCTTTACATTTCACATGATGAGACGAAGCTTGCTTGTGTGCCTAGATGTTTGACATCTGATGCAGTCAAACTATTTAGACACAACTGATTGTTTTATAGAACAAGGGTTTGCTTCAGTATAATGTTAGCCAGTTCTCACTGCCGTGTTAATAGATACTTATGTATGCGAAACAGAAATCTGTGCTCAGGACTTTTGTCCTGTGGGAAAACGTTTACTGATTCTCTTAATTTTTGAAGAGGCATTCTGTTAGTACATGACATTCAGTAGTTTAATTCATAGTCCAAGAATTATACAGGGAATTTTATTCTGGGATTCAAGGAAGTCAATGGCTTGGCACACTGACTTCCTGGTTATTTCAGTCTACTTGTTTCACATCTATTTCCGCCCCTCATAAACTTGTTTGCCACATGTTTACAAAAACTTTTTCCATGGCAGACATCTGTCTGGCTAATTCCTTCCTTGCCCTTTAGCAGGAATATTTTTATTGGTCCACTAATTGTGATTTTGAACCAAGCATTAGGAAAAATTTCATTTGCACAAAAGCTTAACTCCTTCAAAATGCACTGTTATAGAGAATATTAATCTTTGTGATACTCTATTATTGTTTTTCTGTTATTTCCAGTAAATAAATCCCCAAAATATTTCTGAAAGAGGCTGTAATTCAGAATTTATCACCTCCCAATTTTTGGCACCCAGCAAATGCATAACAGTCCTTAATAGTAATGTCCTAAATTACTGGTTTTTTTCATTTTGACATTTTGTAAAGCCCTCAGCATTGGCATAACTCTGTTTCCTTTGAAGTCAGTGATAGCTTTGCAATCAGGAGCAGGATGAGTCCAGTGATAAGCAAGCATGAAAACCCTAGCCTTTATCCCTTAACAAAAATTATGAAAAAAGAAAAAAATCAGCTCTGAAGTACTTTGCCTGTACAAACGTATTTTAATTACTTCTATTATTCATCAAAAGTGCCATACATTTGGCTTAATAGAAGGAAAGCTTACATGTTTTGATTTTTATTCATTGCTTTAAAAATAATTTGTTGTTCCCAGATACATGGCATTTTTAACAAAGGACTGCTTGTGATTTACATTCCAAAAAAAAACTGAGAAGACATAATTCTACTTGACTTAGTGAATATGTATGATATCAAACTTTTCATGATGTAACACATTACATGATTCTCTTGCTAATATGAAGATCAGGATGAATACAGATAAGACAAGACATAATTCAAATTAAAACTGGACTAAACCTTAGAAGTTTGAAAGAATTTGATTAGCTTATAATATCTGTATACTACTCCATTTCTAGTTTGGGAAAAGAACAAAGGTCCAAAGACTATAGAGGACTGTTTTTCTCATAATTTAGACCAAGCTGGAACATATTGTAAAAACATTGTTGTCACTAGCCTTTTTAACTGAAAACCCTTGTTTATATCAAGGATTTTGAAATCTCTTGTGTTTTCCAAAACCTAGCATTTAAAGGGGATTCCAGAAACTACACACACACATGTATCTTCATGCAAATTACGCTTTCTATATGTATACAAAAACTGTAGACCATAAACACAATGATCAGTTTTGCATATCAGTAGACCGCAAGCTACTAAAAATGGTCATTTTTAAGAAGTGTGTATCTAAGTAATTTTCTTACTTGTTTTATAGAGGAATTCTATGCTTGACATTGCCTCTGACAACAAGAAGCCTCTAAAGACTATGTAGACTGATTTGACAAAATGTCAAACTGGGGATCCTAGTTATGAATGTTTAAAGTTGAATTTTGGGATTGTTTTGCAGTTCCTGTGAAACTATATTTTTTTAAAGTATTTACTTACATTTCTCTTCCATTTCCTGACATCTTAAATCCTCCAAAAGGACACTGAGCAGAGGCTGCACTATAACAATTAACCCTGGAAGAACAGGAAAATTACTTTTGACAGTGTGAAACAACTTTTTTCACTTCTGAAAAATCAATGCTTTTCTGTTGACTGTAAAAAACCTATGGTGATATTCACAAACTATATCTGAGTAATACACTTGCAAAAATATGTGTACTTCAAGATTCAGAGAAACAAAATATTACCAGAAACTACTCTTATGATCAGGGTTCTAACACTCATCAAAGGTCTTCAAGCAGAGTGACAGTCATATCTTTCTCTGATAGTTGTGATATTTACTTGTGCAAAGTAAATATTAGTCACAGTTAGGTCTTCTGCAGGTACACTTCCAACAGATAAATTCGAATCACTTCAGTATATGTTTAGGAAGTTCTGTTTGGTTCTACTCAGTGTTAAATCGTATTCTGTGTTGTGGTTAAGAATAAAAATACAATAATGAGTAAGAAAGGAATTTCACAGGGGAATTTGTAGTATGAAGAGTTTTGACAGAATATGCATCCTGTTCCCTGGCTGAGAAGGTATTTTTGTCTTTCAACATTGTCAAATCAGAAGTCTCTATTTTCATATCTTATAATTTCTCCTGCTGCCAGTCTACTGGTTTCAACAAAAGAGGTTCTGCCTGTAGTTAAGGATTCCTAGACAGACCAAAAATCACATAAGAATAAAAATCAAAGATTCCACTTTTGTTTTAAACTTTCTTCTATTTAAAGCAGAAACTTAACTTATTTTTAGAAAGCATATGTTTTTAGGTTACAGGACCTGATCCTGAATTTTTGCTGGTTGCAAGTTCTTTCAGATAAAATGTAAATTGGACACAGGTTTTGCATTCAAGTAAAATTGATTGTTCTCTTTCTGATGCATTGATATAACTTTTCTGCTGCCTTGATATAACTGTAGGGCAATACAAGTCTCTGACAGCGTTAGTCATTGAACTCAGTCTGCTATTCCTCCAAACTTTCACTCTTGCATCTCCCATCCTTTGCCTATCCAGCTTCATGGATGTTGCCTCTTTCTTTTCTGCTGCCGGAAATAGTCATCCTTGTACCTGTAGCAGTTGTCCCTCACTTGGGTTTCCCTCCTTTTTTCAACCACATTTTATCAATCTTTTCCATCACAGGTGTGGATGTTCTGCCCAGGTTAATGGCCACAGAACTTCAGATAATTTATTTCTTTACACAGTCCAGAAAATGATCTCCACAAATTAAGTGTGTATTGGAATATCCCCAGATCCTGAATGGAAAGTGGCACTCTTACTGTATTTCCTTTTGTCACCTTTCCTTTTTACCAAGTCAATTTCCTTTTTCAGACTGAGTTTCCAGGACAATTGTGTGAACACTTACAAGAAGTATTTATTTAATAGCATGCTAAGTATGGAAAGGTGAGGGGAAGAGAGATGTGGGAGGATAGCATTCATCTACCTCTTTAAAGATGACAGGGAATTGAAATATAAAAGTAAAAAGTAGAGCACCCAAAGAAGTGTTAGAATGTCCTACATTTATTGCCATTGGCACCTGCAGTTCTGAAGGGAGAATTAAAAAAGCCATTACTTACCATACTGTTCCAGCCTGAAGAGCAGCTGCAAATGTCAATGCTTTATCAATGTCTTTGGTAAAAACTGCTGCTGCTAAGCCATAGGTGGTATTATTTGCCCTCTTGATAACTTCATCTACAGTTTTAAACTTCATGATTTGTTGAACAGGTCCAAATATCTGTTTCAAACACATGTAACGCATGAAGTGGACTAGAATATCTTAGTATTGTAAATAATTTCTATTTTTAGAATTTATTTCTGTCAGATGGACTTATTCCTGAATTCATTCAGTCAAGAGTGTACATCTCAGAACAGAGTTCTAAAAAGGATTATGAATTCACATAAAGATAAGATTTATGTAGTATGGAGCAAATCAAGATAGTCTCTTGTAGAATGATTAATAAAACAATAAAACAATAAATAAATAATGAAAACAAATAAATAAAGATGAGAAGACACCCTCCATAAAGGTAGTTAGCATGGAGTCACAGTGTGTTACATTTCTATACTGCTTACAATGGACTGGTATTTTCTTGGTAAGCTCCAGTTTCAGAGTTGGGAAAGATATTAAACTTTTCCTTCCCCTAAACTTTCTATTAGACTTCTATCTCTGCAGGTAGCTCACAACTGGGCACGTACGCCAAGTGAAACAATTAATTCTGCTTTCCATATGGATGTTATGTGAGATAACAGTCCCTCAGGCTTGGTTTTCTCACTACCACCGCTCTGAGTTTTCAGCCAAAGGTGCCCATGCCCACCACAGAGTGCAAGGCTGTGTAGGGCAGGGAGGGCATTACCACACCTAATTACTTCCAGTCCCATAGATCATGAGCTTTCGTGATTTTCCTGGAAATTGTTTGGTGCTAGTTCTTAACTAGAGTTGCAGTTACATAGATCAGAAGAGCATTGAATGTTCCCCCACTGTTCAGAACCTGGATATTCCTTAAATACACTCAAAATAGTGTCAGAGAAGCAGTTCTTGTACTGCTGACCCAAAGGAAACTAAAAGATCAGTGAAGAAACATACTTTTGTACAGTTTCCTATCTGGCTTCCAAACTGGCAGAAACAATCCAAATTATTTCTCATACAGTTCTCTCCACTTTTACAGCTCTCTCCCCATCACAATTAACTCTTGCTGAATGTACTATGTATGTTCAGCAGACTTCAGCAGCAGTATAGCTGGCTATATAAAGACCTAGGTTTGTAACAATTTTGAAGGAGCTTTCTAGTATGAAGAAGTATAACGAACATCAACTGCAGCACAACTGCAGCAGTTATTAGTCAAGACAAATGTAAAAAAAGAGAGAAGAGGTCATGACTGGACTCTGAGGCTGTGTTTACAGAACTGTTTTTCTCAACAGCATAACAGCTCTGCACTCCTAACCTTCTTCCATTCCTTACAGATGATCACTGATGCTCTGGCACTGCCACCTTAATTGGGTCAGTAAAATCTTCTTCTGTGGTGTGTAGATACATGTGCAAACTGATCTAGATTAAATCAGCCTGCTGACGCAAACCTCTGCTTTTCTGTAATTGCCACCAACAAAATGCCTATGGAAGCACAACCTAATTGTTTTCTTTTATTGCAAAATAGCTGCTTAACACATATTGTGTTCAAACCCCAACTTAAGTGGTTCCTTAAGCAGCACAAAGAGTTTACAAGCTGTGCCTTCAAGGTTTCCTTCTCTGTTACAGGTTACCATGACTCTGATACGTGAGAAATGGGCAGTGTGGGGTGATGATGTAAACAATCCGAACCTCAGAATTTCTTATCTACTGTCAGCTTAAGCTGGACCCTTTATTGGCAAACCAGTGTCATGCTCCTCTCCCTCACCTCCACTCAGTTGGTAAAATGGGCATCAGAAACCAAGAAAAGCATTTTAAACACCATCAGGATGGAATGACAGATTTACCGAAAGCATTTTTATGTAGCTATTTGACCTTCTGAGTGGATATTTTGTACAGACACTTAAACAGACTATCTCCAGTTAGAGTACAGACTGCCAAGGATTTATTTACCTCTTCTTTGGCGATGCGCATATCATCTGTAACATTAGAAAAAACGGTGGGCTGGATGAAGTAACCTTTGTCTCCCCATGGACCTCCTCCACATTCCAGTTTGGCTCCTTCTTTTTTCCCACTCTCAATTAGCTCGAGGATTTTGTGAAATTGTTCCTTATCTATCTAAATGAAAAGATATTACAGGGATGAAAAGAACATACACTGATAACAGTTGTTCTTCTGATTCATTAACTAAAACCTAAAAATGTTTCAGCTTTGTTCAGTTGCGTGTGTTGAAGTAGAACAGCTGGAGAGCTCTGCAAACATTCTTGTCACTAACTTCTCAAAACTTTGCAGGCTTTTCTCAAATAGACCAATAATCAGAAATTCTGACATAGGAGAATCAACTGTAGAGGGACTAATAACCTGATTTTCTTTAGTACAAAAAGAAAAAAACCCTACAAATTAAATGTGTTTTACACTTCTCCCAGTACTCTTGCCAACTGCAAATAGTTCATCAAAACAAAAATGACTGAGCTTGATTCTGCAAAGATAACAGAGAGCTTGATCTAACCAGCAAGACTCTTCACTGCTTCACTAGGTCTGGTAGATTGGCCATACTGTTTTCCTGAACTATTAAAGGAAGTTAAAAAGCAACAAAAAAAATAACTGAAATTTCGTGCTGGTTTTGGTTCATTCTGATTTATTAGTGCAATAAAGACACATTTGTGGTTTGAGAAACAGAGATGGCAGGTTGTTTACGGTATGAAGCCAATCTCTGCCCCTCCACTCACCCAAGCCGGCCAACAAATTGAACATAAGCCAAGTATATTGCAGTTTGGCTCTATAGTATAGCAAAATGCATAGTCTTTGCCTGGAAAAGGAGTTTATGGTGGCAGTACAATAGCAGCTTTCTCTAACCCTTTGCAGTTTTCAGTGACAAAGTGGATAAAAGGAAATAGTATAAATGGAATCTGGAAACAGATCGTATATCATTTCATGTCCTCGTCTCTCTAAATCATCCAATCACCACTTCAGGCCTGAAGGGAAATTGTGCACAAGATAACATTTATGTCAAGAAAAACTTAGTGATAAAGCTTGTTTGGTAGTGACCTCTAACACCCTCTTTTTTTTTCAATTGGTTCCATTTTCATGATTCTTTCCTTCATTCTTTCAGAGTTCAACCCTTCAAGCACTGGCTCATGAAGATATCGAAATTACTTCCAAGGGGACTCTTGCACAGAAGGTTCTTCTCTGTGATCATACTCATCAGTCAGCAGAGTAGGGGAGTATCTTATGCTCTTATTCACTCAATAAAAAGGTTGCATTTCAGTTTAAGCAACAGATTTGACCATGATCATAGAACGCAACAATATTTTCAAAGGTTCCCGTGAATCCTGGATGTGTATTAGATTAAATAGCTATTCAGCTAAAGCTGTGATAAAAGCTTATGTTTATAAGGATATGAATTTATAAGGATATTTATAAGGAGGTGATTTTTAGTTCACTGTACTCCCTTTGTCATTTTGCTTTCAGACAGTTGCCTTACTACATACTGAAGACACAAAATTTCTGGTACCCTGCTGGTCAAATAATTCTTGTGCATAAACATCTTGAAGAGAAGATGAGATTTAGATGATACAGCTCATGTTGCTGTCCATCGTTCCTTTGTTACTGTTATCATAATTATTTTTCTTAATAATGTGTAAATTAGCATATATATGATTTTTTGAATTCCAGTAGGGCCTTTGGCTCTTCTTTGGTGCCCACTGTGCAAAGCATTATCCAAACTTGCTGCCTGAGGGAGGTGCTGCCCCAGAGGGCCTGTGAACTGGAGGACAAATATAGCTTCCAAGAAGACTCTGTGACAAGAAAGCACAGTGAATATGCCTGGTATAGGCTGTAATTTTTTGTTTCTAGAAAGAACTAGACAAAGTACAACAAGAAATGTGAAGACAAAGAGAGATATTTAACATAATTACCACAAAAGAATTGCACCTAAACCGCATGGTTACAATTTTCTGTTAAATGGGATCATACCAGTTCTAAAAGGAGAACCTGTGAAAAAGTTAAGATTTCTGTTAAAGCTTGCTAAGAAGAAAAAGAGATCAAGAAAAGCAAATGATAAGACTGGAATAGAAAGCAATCTTCATGCTCTTTCAAATGTTTTCAGTAATGCTTTTTTTCACATGTTTAATCTTCCTTTTTTTTTTTTTTTACTTTCATCTCTCATTTAAATTGTTAGCATGAATTTCAAACTCAGTAAAGCCATAAAAACATGAGAGTGAATTCCTGTTAGTTTTGTAATAACTGTACTCCAGACACCTGGATTTTACTTGTTTCAATCTTCCCTTCCTCTGGCATTTAAATTTATTCAGCTGAACATAATAGCTTGTTAGCAAGACACATTGCAGGATATCAAAATAGCATCCTTACTGTTTTTAAATTCTCCAAAGCTTGTGTGGCTTGGAATGCAGTTCTCCAATTTGCTTGGTGTCTTTGCATAAAATGACTGAAATAACTAATGAAGGACACATTGCACTATCTAACATGTGGGAGTTACTTTGTCTCCAGATTTTGCTTTGTCTCTAATACAGTTCCTTTATTCTGTGACAGTCGAATATGTGCATAATAGCTCTGCCAAGAAAGTATGTATCCTGTAGTACAAGCTGATGTAGGAATAAGACTCTAGAGGAAAACTAATGTAAGAATGCTCTAATGTTATCCACTGAATCCACAGCATTGTGATAGCTATGTTTTTTAATTTTGCATTTAACATTCATTTAATAGGGAAGCTGTTGACACAGGCTTTTAATATAAGCAGGAAAAAGTATAAAATGATGCATTTTAATTGTGTAATATTCTAAAACTGAGAGCAACATAATGAAACACTAGCACCTTGAAAAAAGAGAAGAGACACTATTAAATTTCATTTCCTCAAGCTACTTACTTACAGTGGCACTATTGGAATGTAATGTTAGCAATCTCTGACATGGGTGATCATACTTGTGCTTTTACAGGTGTTGCATTGGAGCTTTCTGAAAATATTTCAGTTCTATATAATTGTTCCCATTCCATAACAAAAAAAAAAAACTAGAAAAGAGAAAGAAACCTCACCCTTAGACCTATGATAGTGGCACAACAAACCATCACTCCTGGTCCTCCAGGCTTAACTACTAGACAACTGTACTTAGCCTTGAAACTAATGCAACAATAGGTTTAGAAGTACATTAAACTGTGATGTCGTGTCACAATTATATTGGAAACACATAACATTACTTACTTGAGGGCCTTGCTGTACATCAGGCAACAGAGGATTCCCAAGAGTATACCTCTTTGCTCGTTCAATGCTCCGGCGAACAAACTCATCATAAATAGGCTCTTCCACAAAAATTCTAGATCCTGCTACACAACACTGTCCCTGGTGGTAGAACAGACCAATATGTGCAAATTCCACAGCAGTGTCCACTGCAAAGAAACGCAGAGTTCATCAGAACATAAACTTGAATGTTCATGTCATAAACACTTTACAAACCTTTGTTACTCCATCTCATTTGACTTTTTAGCACTTTTAATTTTTATGGTCCTTTAAAACACAGGTATTCATCCATTTACTTACATCCAAAACTACTCTCACCAAGAGCAGCACAGTACACTTAGACAAACATAGGTTCAGGTGTTCTATATGTAATGTAGATTTCAACATTTTTTGCCCTATCAGCAGTACCAAGAGAATTATTCAGTTAGAAAGTTAATAAACTTGTATAAGATCCATTTTGCTGCTTTTAGTTGTGCATTCATGTTGCGTTAGGATGATGTTTTATTGCAGTAAGGGTGGACAGATTGTCAGAGGCTCATATCCATTCAGGACCCACCAATTTTTGGTAGCAATCTAGCTTAAAATTATGGTGTGATCAGAAAACATTAAAAATTGCTGTTTCATTAAACAGGTATAAATAATTTACTGACAAAGAAAGAACATGGGACTTGCAAAAGTAACAGTTTTATATAATGAAAATTTTACTAACAGTCTGCGTCCGCAAATATAATGTTAGGACTTTTTCCTCCAAGTTCCAATGTAACTCTCTTCAGATTGCTCTTCCCTGCTGCTTCTTTAATCAATTTGCCAACCTAAAAGGCAGGGAGAGGACAGCTTAATCTCAAAAAACTTGTTATGACCTCAATAACATTTCTCTGAGTTCCTCAAAAATAAAAATCAGTTCACAGTTGTCTACTATTCCAGTAATCGTAGAAATGAAAAATAAAAAAAAAGAAAAAAATCGAAAGGAGGAGTCAGGATGCAGATACCTTGCAATCTACAGACCAGGAATAGTTTCCAGAAGAATTTCCCCCTGGACACACATGTTAACTGCCAAAGATGTCTAGTGTTTTTTTGGTTACCGCCACTATACTTACTTGTATCTGTAACCTAAAGTAGGCACCAATTTCTTCTCTGCCAGTTGTTTCCATTAGGTTGAATTTCCTCTGTTTTATACATGGGAAAGCCCTTTGATGCACAAAGTTTATGAGAGAAAAAGTAGATATCTATGCTGCCTGCATGGCCAACTCTTTCTTATTCCAGTTTCTCCCTTAGAGGAAAGCAGAGGAAATGGACACTGCAAGGCAGAACCCCTATCCTGCTTCTTTCCATTGATGGCATAATTAAAGGAATGACTTAATATGAATTGTCCTGGAAAAAATGTGAAGGGAAGACATACTTGTAGTCCTTGTGGCTAACTGATCATGTGTAGTAACCATCAGATAGCTTCTTTGCTCTGCCAGCCTTCCTGCCTTCATTTCTCACTGCTAAATTACACTGTCAGAAGAAGAGGACTGTCACCAAAGTCTATGAATACACCCTCTGGTTCACTTGCCTTTGGGGGGACACAGGACACTGCGAATTGTAGTTGTTACTGTCCATTTGGAACATGTGTGGGAAGTTTCTCAGCTGTCGGGGTTTTGGGTTGTTTTCTTTTCCTGTTACTTTAGAGCTAGAGGTTTCTAAGAGTAAACATAGCTCTTGCACTCAATGTGCACTGATTCTTGACATGAGGCAATGTTATTTATCTTCAGAGTGTACATTCAAGAAGTTAAGAGACCAATTGGTAGCTCTACCATGTAGCATGCATACAGAGAGATAAGATAGTGGACTGTGTTAACAATATAGTTATATATTGCCTGCACTGAGAAATCTTCAATCATATTACTCACAGTTCTTCAGAGTGAAGGTTAGGGAAAATTAACAGTGACTTTCTTTTCAACTATTAAACTGATACATACGCGAATGCATGATTTCTAAGGCCACCCAGATGATCATCAGTATTATTCAAATACCAAAAAGCCATCATCTCACCTAACTGTTTGTAGAACCAGGAATGAGATTTCTAAAGTACCTTCCTACCATCCTGTTGCTATTACAATTAAACAGAATGGAGCACTGCCTGCTTCACTTTTTTCATTTTTAAAAATAATAAGTCTTTAAAAAGGAAACAAACAGAAAGTTATGAAAATGTTTTGTTTTTAAAGGACAAGACTGGAAATAGCCTTGGTATACTAGAACCTATTTTATCTCGTGGAGTGCCTTTGTTTGAAGGGCTTTCCTGTAATACAAACATTGTTTAAATATGTTTAAAGTTAATAATAACCAACAAATCATTAAACAGACTTTGTTTAACAAGCTAGCAGCCAAAAGAACGAAAAAGGTTAAAATAGTTACATAGAACAAGTTAGACATTAAATCATTACTGGGAATCAGAGGGGCACATTTCCTGCTTGTATTTTCTTGCATTCACTATAGTACCTCTGTAGAGCCTGTGAAAGCTACTTTATCTACATCCATGTGGTGAGAAATTGCTGCTCCAGCGGTGGGTCCAAAGCCTGGCACAATGTTCACAACTCCAGGTGGAAATCCTGCCTGAATTGGAAGAGAGAACCCTTTACATTTGGGGAAGGACAATGACTAGAAGAACGTGTCTCATATAGTCTTACTTCCCTTTTCAGTTCTCCAGCCAGGTTTTATCAGCCACGCAATTATTCTCAGCCCTAGAGCCCCAAATGTGTTTATTCTCATGTGATTTACACCCTTTTTCCCCCATCTGTCTCTTAGGCTATTGAACTTGCTCTTTTATAAAAAAGAGAACATTTTATTTCAGTTCTTTTTCAGTGTCATTGCCAAGGAATATTTGTTTTTTCTTTTCTCCCCCAGTCAGATGTGTAAAGAAAAAGATGTTTAATTTCATGTCTGCTTCATTAAAGCCATTTGAATAATTCTGTGTGTTTGCTGACTTCTGCTCATTATCCCTCACGTTAGATGGAATTTAATTACTGATCAGCTGACTTACACTGAAATTCTGTTAAGAAAAATGATGGAAATAGTACTTCAAACTCCACGTCTTTGCTTCTTTCTCTGGACATGGGTTGAAAATAGAGGGTGGGCAACCTGAGACTTTACAGTACAGAAGAGGCAGATCAGCTACGAAGCATGAAAAGCTGGCTACCTGAGACATGCACAGTATCAGTATATTGCAAATTTTCTATTTAAAGAAGCTTTTACTGTGGACCAAATCAAAACTGTTGTTTCCCACCAGTTTCGTACTTGTTATCTTCCATTCATAGGCAAAGTAAGTTATTTTCTTCCAACAGCTTGTCAGGCAAACTCCTATGGATGTGTGTGGCTGGATTTCCTATCAGTTTATGAAGCATCTATGAGATCTCAATGGCACTTGCAGAGAAAGCATAGAATTAAAAGACGAAAAAGATGCATCACCTGTATTATCACTTAAGTAAGCCTCTTTTTAGTATTAAAGAAGACTTTGGAATTATATGCAAATGTTCCATTTTCATTTGGAAAATGGTGAATTTCAGGTGGTGAGTTACAGCTCCTAAATCTCATGTCCTGTGTTACAGACACCAGAAAATTACTCTTGTTCAAGCAGATTTGGTTCCTTACAGGTTCATGCTCAGATACATTCTATTAATGCTTTTTATGCTCATTTAATATTCCAGATTAACATTTACCCCGGAACTAATGAGACAATGAGGTTCCTTCCATTTGCTCAGCATTGTGTTTCATAATTAATTTGTAGAGAAAAGTAAGAATAATATTTTTTATGGGACTAATTCACATTGTCTCACTTTGGGCATTTAATTTCCATGTCTGAATTATAAGGTATTTTCTACATATCAACAAAGGAGCCTTGTGAGGACTATTAAGAAGGATAGTGAGGATTACCAATAGTGACTATATTTTTTTTTTTAATGTGGACACTTGAGAAGTAGAAAATTAAATTAGATCTTCAGATCGTTTCACAAGTCTAAAGCGGCTGCTAAAGTGACCACTGAGGTTTTGATCACTGTCAGGGATTTGGCCTTCAACTTTATTTGGGTAATCTGGATGTAAATTAAAACTCAGCTAGACTTGGGTGAATAAATCTTGAAGGACTTGATAAGATAAATATTTGTCTTTTTTTAAAGCTCCACAATATCTACCAGATAATACAGCAAAGACATCTAACAATTATATACTTAAGCTTCTCATCCAGTTGAACATTGAAAGAATAGGTAAAATGAGAATCATCTTGCCTTTTACTAAAAGAGCTCTAGCATTTTATCAGTCATTACCACATTACCACTCTGTAACTGTTGTAAGTGTGCATGAAAATGGACCACTGATCACAGTCCCACTTATGAGCTTTCCTTTCGGGAAATCAGAATATCAGAACAGATATTTCATTAGACTCAGGTCAGAACAAGTTACTTTCCCTGTAAAGTAGCATTTTTCAGAGAAATATACTTTCTGATACTTATTGTTAAAAATTAATAGAGAAGGTATTTTGGAATTTTTTTTTTTTTAAAGCAATTCCTCCTCCCCGATATTATCTAATAGCATTTACTATGTGATGCAATAACAGCAGGACTTGGTTCCTTCCTGATAGTCATTTAGTTTCTGTGAAATATTAACACATAACTGGTCAGTATGCTCTGCTGAATCATTGTTTTGAAGCAGAGTAATAAAATGTGCCGAGTCATTTCCATTAACACTCTGCAAGGTTACTGCGCTGGTGATTATTGACATCTGTGCCAACTCTTCAAACATGTTTGATTACATTTGTTGATTTTATTGGGATAGCTAAGCTATTTAACTGTTCTTCTTTGGGTGTTTGCTGGGCTGGGCACAATAGTCAACATAACCTTGGAGACACTGGAGAAACTGTCACAGTCCTTGTACCAAGTGTATTCTCCTAGTTTCTGTGTGAAGGGAGTTCACAAGTTTGTTACCAGTTCAATTTTACAGCTCCCTGTTAATAATAAACCCAGCTGTATGAAAAGTTTTTTCAGTTAAAAAATAATAATAATTAGCTATAAGAACAGGTCCTTTTCTGTGATAACTATGCTAATAAAGTCACTGCCACCCACCTCTAAGTACTCTGCTCTTGACTCCTTGTTTGCTTTTGACTTTGAAATGTACTGTGCTTTTGTAATACAAATACGTTTGCCAAGGAATGGAGTTTACTGAATTGCTATTGTGGGTTTTTTGGTTTGTGTGGACTAGGCTGAAAGATATGCATGCTTTTGCCCTGGATTTGCTTAACTGGTTTACAATAAGGTAAGTTCCATAGTACAAGGCTAGACATGCAATGAGAAGTACTTGCGGAGGACAGCCTGGCTTATATTACCTCTGTGGCATTTCAGCTGCAGTATACACTTACATTTCTGAGAAGGGCAAAAAACTCTGTTGATGACTTACCTCTTTAATTAAGGATCCCATGTAAAGGGCAGTCAATGGAGTTTGTTCTGCTGGTTTGACAACTACTGTGTTTCCACAACAAAGGGCAGGGGCGATCTTCCAGATGAACATAACCAATGGGAAGTTCCACTGAAAGACAGATGAGAAGGTGTATCCTATTTCTAATACATCGCCAGAATGCCTTTGCTTTTTCTATGATAATAGAGCAAATTGTCAACCGGGTCATTGAACTCTTTGTTGAACTCTTTTCAGAATTAAGATATTTTGAAAAAGCGACCGGCAAGCCATGTTATACAAAGACCAGTGATTTTGGTGTATGTGAGTCCAGGAGATCCAAGGTTTTAGTTAAAATCTCAAGAGACAATAAACATACCCCTCTAACAAAGCCTTACAGAAAGTTGCTGGATTAGAGGTGAAATTGGGAGTTTTGTTATCTTAAATGATCACATCCGTCATCAATTCAGTTTTCTAAGGGAGACAAGGTAATAACATGTAACACTGCCCCTCTTCTCTTCCCTGGAGGTTTCACTGGCAGCTCTCTATTGTGGTCAGTCCAGCCAGACTGTCGAGCACCTGACTCCTTTGGACTCTCTATTCAGCAGTACGAGGGACAATATGGCTGGGGGAAAAATGGGTTGCCCCTTTGAGAATATTTGTAGGAGTTTTGGAAGCATTGATCCCATGAGCCTCTCTACGAAAGATGCAGAATGCCTTACTTTTATGAAAGTAGGGAAAAAAGCAGTTAACAGTTTTCTATTATGTAAGAAAGGCTTGGAGAAGTATACATGCAGCTGTTCTTTATCTCTCTCCTTATCTCATTTCAGTCTCACCCCACCCACAAAACCAACAGGAACACAAATAACACAAAGTAAGGGATTATAGGGTTTTCTGGATCTTCATCATTAAAGTGGAACTGTGTGAGTGGAAGAGAAATGGAAATTATGAGCCAGCAAAAGTGTTTTGCAGTGTTCATGTGGTCCTGAAAGTTCTTGGTTTATGTAAAAACCTCCAACTTGGTGGCTTCACATTTCAATGGAGAGAAAATAAAGATATACTCAGAAGTCCCTGAACATTTGATAAGGGAAGCCAGTGTATGTACCAACTGCTTATGCTTTCGGGATGCAATTTTATTTAGAAGTGGCCACATCTAGTGTTTCTAGGTCTTTAGCATATCTTGACTCTGAGTGCTTTACTTGAAATATCTTGTGCCTGACCTACAGGAAAATCTAAATCAGCAGATTCTCAAGCTCTCCTAGAGTCTGGATCCAAATGTGTTCCAGTGATGTTCTCTAAATCAATGCGGTGGTCTAAAGAGATAGCAAATCTGCAAGCTCAACTGAGAGACATCTGGAACATGTGTGGGACCCACATGTCTGAGTAAACCTGACAGACAAGCTGGCTATTTCAGAATCTGGTAAGCAGTTAAGCAGGTCAGATCAGGCTGCTCACACCTACCATGTGCAAAGAGGTGAGTGGATTAGGACTGTCTAGTGCATTTTCACAGCAACTCACTGAAGCTGTGTAGAGTTGACAAATAAATATAAAAGTTGAGTTCCTCAGTGTTTTGAATGTTCAGACTCAGGCAGGTTTTTAAATCTTCACTTAAAATAAGTGACTTCAAAACTGGGAATTTAGACACTCCGAACAGGAGTGGGGAACATTGGGAACATATGACTCAGTATCACTGTGCTTATTGGACACATTCTTTCTGTTGTTACTTGTACCATCAACATGGTGAATGAGTCTTTGTTATAAATAAATAAAGATCCAGCTATCTGGATACTGTACAGAGCAGAACAAATATTTTAGGTGCTAAAGAGCTTAATGCTTATAGGCTGTAAATATTACCCTCTCCTACTTGTTCATTTCTAATTCTTTCAGTTCCAACAAAACACAATTCTGTCTTTCAAACTGATCCCTGAGTCAATCTTTTGGGATTTATTTTTCCTCCATATACAGGAAGGAGAGAGAAAAAGCTGGACAAGACTGACTCATCAAAAGCTCCATGCAGCAGAATTTGATGAGTACTCAGAATGATCTCTATCTTTCAGAACCTGAAAGTTTTTGATTGGTAATATTTCAAAAATGCACTTGCATAGACAAAATTTCAAAAACATTTCCATTTGTAACAGGAACATTTGTGTTTTACATAAATAGCTGTGACTTACAGGAATAATTTGGCCACACACCCCAATAGGCTCGTGTCTTGTAAATGTAAAAAAGTTTCCATCTAGGGGAAGAAGAAATAAATTAGACTTTCAGACAAGGCACTTGCAAGAAACAGTTAAATCAGAAAGAAGACAAAGTTGGATATCAAACTTTACTGGATACAATTTTACTTATAAATGATATTTTCAAAATCTTAGCTATGCAAAAAAAAAAACCCTGAAGTACATCTGGATTCAATACCTACTTTCTTCATAGCTCCAAGGTTTGATTCTGCCAATCTGACTGACTTTTTACAGTGATAACTCTCCTTCTCAGTATGGTATGCACAGCACACCAATGAGCATTCCTCATTTCTTTTTTCTCTTATCACCTTTTTTTTGTAAAGTGCCCTTTTAAAGGTTACTTTCAATCCTAGGTACATATCAGACATTTTTTAATATTAGATCTTAGCTTAAATCAAATCCATTAAGTATAAAATTCTCTTTGATTCAAATAAACATGTGTTCCATTAAGCCTAGTATAGAGATCTATGTGAGGCAAAAAAGTTGGAAGTATTTATCACTCTAGTTTTCCTTAATTCCTTCTTTATTACCATTCTTTTCTTTGTCCTTCTGAGAGAAGGCAGCTAGAAACAATGTTTTGATAAAGCTGCTTAATGGGAGAGGGAACATAATGAAATTTCAGCAAAATAAAGAAATGTTTCCTCATTCCTGTCTCGTAGTACTCTTCCTAATACATTATCCAATAACTGAAACAAGTGTTACTGTCTGTGCTAATCTTAGCTTTAATAAGCAAATACCTGGTTTTCCCTGCAGTCCACTGCATAAACTACACATTGCTATGCAAAAGTAACCTACCAGACTTCTTAGATGTACATACAGGCTAAAATCTTTTGGTCAATAAACAATACTTATTAGTGGTGTATAGAACAAGAAATAGATGTGAATACTGCACTAAATATTTAAAATGAGCACTATGATAAATCTCAAGTAACCTGTATTAAGAACTATCTAAAATATTTTCCATTCAAACGTTTTTTGTGTTGCACAGCTTTTAGAAAAAAGGCAATTTTTTACAGATCACATTGGCTTCAGTTCTGTACTTTTGTTATCTCAAAACTACTCACCCACTGGAACAGTACGCCCATGGATTTTATCAGCCCAACCTGCACAGTAGTGTAACGTTTTGATACAGGCACTTAAATCCATTAGGTAGGCATTGGAAAAGAGTTTCCCACCATTAATGGCTTCCATTGTCTGCAGATAACAGCAATTACAAAGTTAATATCAAATATTGATAATGGTTCTCATGCTTGTACTTTGTAATTTAGCTTTTGGTTGTTCAGTTCACAGATTTTCAGCTTTAGTACAAATACTTATATTCATTCCCCTCAAAAGGATACTTAATATTTGAAAAACTCAAGGTAGCAATTTACAAATAAGAAATTTTCACAATGGTTTATTTCCAGTGAGCTATGCAAATAACATGGTCATGGCATATTTGTAATAGTGAGGTGTTCTGAACAAACAGTGACATTTCTTCCACCTGAATCAGTTACACTGTTCTAGTTTATATGAAATATTCTAGAAGTGTAGATGAAAAGATCATCTAGGAGTCTGTGCAAATGACTGATGCAAGTAAAATGAGTGGTCTCCCTCAGTCTGTTTGCACTGACACGCAGGGTAAGCAGTAGTTTCCTGGAAACTGTCATGTTAACTTAGGATCCTGTGCTGTTTAATTATTAAAGAACATCTTTCTAGGTGCTTAACAAATGCAATTAGCAGCTTATATGAGCAAGAAGACTCAAAGCATGGAATAAAATGCCCTAAAAATACCTTGAGTGTTTGATGTGCAAAGGAAACATCTGAGCCATCAAGAACTCTTAATGGAGAAAAATTCGCTATGAAAAATAAATATTTATACAGAAGAAACTCTCTTTTATTGAGTAACTACTGACTGAGTTAACTAAATGTTCTTATTTGAAGCTAGGCCTGAATCTCCATACGATGGATCTCCATGCCAGGCAGGTATAAACCTTTGCAATAATAATCAGCAAATACTCATTCAACATATATAACTTTTTATCTGACCAATTCTGTTCCACTTACAGTGCTGTAATGATCCCACAGAGACACCAGCACTAAATAGAGTTGATTTCCAGCCAAATCTAGGGAGTGTGGTTTGGATTAATGCCATTTCAATATCCCCAATTGTTGGGACATCTATTTAAAGACCATGTGCATTTTTTAAACAGTGTCAATATCTTCTTGACGCTGCTGGAACTCTTTTCTCAAGTTTTCCAGCACGGAGACACTGGGGACCTTCACCTTTGTCACCAATCCTGTTAGGATATGTAGTAGGAAAACCCCAAACTATAGTTTCAAGATTTAGTCAGATCTTAGAAATATTATTTTCTTTTCTAAATTTGTTATTTTGTATGTCCAAGATTCTTTAGCCTTTCAGGCTGAGTCCACAGACTGATCCTGCAAGTACAATGTTTCATCAACAACTCCTCTGTGAAGTCCACAGTTTTAGTTAACTGAACACACTGCAGGTATCATACTTGGGAAGAGAACAGAGCAAACAGAGAAGCCAGCAACACTAGATGGCTTTCAGCAACAAGGAATGGATTAAACAAGATATGGCCCTGCCATTCCAGGCAGTATATCTGGCAGTGTTTTGTTCTGTTTGGATGTGGGAGAAAATTCTTCCCTGGCATCAAAGTTATGAACTCTATAGCTTTAAACATCACAACAGACTGAAACCTAAGAAACAAAATGCTCAGTGGCTCTTTCAGTACCCTGCTTTGACCTATTCTTCCAGTAGTCTACCCATAGGGCTGCTGAGCCTCTGGAGCTTCAGGAGGGGCATCTTATTATTTGAATAACTGAAATGGAATAATTTTGATCCTGGCCAGATGCATGAGCACAGGAAAATGCCTTTGCAATGAGCTTTGGGGATCTATTTTGACTTCTAGTGTTTACAAGGCTATTTGCTATTCTATAGTACTAGTTCTGCAGTGAGGATAAGCTGCGAGAGGAGAAAATCTCTCTCATTTTGACGAAGTCTGAAAAGCCCTTCATTCAAACACAGCTTATCTAACAGAGAAAAGTAGTCAATAATGTGAATAAGGTGTAGGAAATAAAAACAAAGACAGTAAAACAGAAATTTGAGAGGGGCCCCAGAGGAAAGCAATACTTTCATATTATAAACATGGCAAGTGGAAATAAAACCTAACTTAATGTTTCAGTTTTTCTGTGGAAAAAGATTTCTACTCCAGCCTCTTTGCATGTGTAATGCCTTAGGTTGTACAACAAAGAAGCAAATGCCAGCTTATCTGGTATTTAACTGAAAAGGGGGCATACTTTTCCTATTTAAAATGTAACTCTTAAAATTTTGTCTCTCTCCACTCCAGTAAATCTACTGTTGTTAACGACACAAGTTTCAGTCACACAAGGTTTCTCCTGAGAAATCTCCATCAAGGTGAAAAGATTCATTCAGAGAAATAACCTTGTTGAAGAAAAGTGTAAATTTGACAGTTGCAGAATTTGGAGTTCAAGGAAATAACTCAGTTCCTTTGAATCTTCATTTTTGTTTTAAAAACCTCTTTGGGATACATGCAAGTGTCTTCCCATACTACAACCGTAAGGACAGTAGAATAGGCAATAGATTCTTTGCAGGTTTTACATAATTTGAAGGTTTAAATTTTATGAATTTATCAATGGTGTGGTTTGTAGCTAATAGCTAAATACTTCAAACTGTAGTTAGATCAATCTGAGTGATGATCCTGAATGTTGTATACTCCTCCAGCTCTCTTAAATTTTGGACACATTTGGTAGAAGACCAGGATCCATCTTCAGGATGGTGCAAAAATTTATCCTGCCTAAATGTTAATTCTAGAAGGTGCTTGAAATAGCAAAGAGATCATCTTAATGATAGCAACATGTGTGGGATTTAAAACAAGAAGTGGGGGGCGGAGAGGTGGGGGGTGGTGAGGTGAGGTACTCCACTTTATCAAATTGGTGGTGCTTTTCTCTTTTCAATGTTCTTTCTTGCCTTAGTGCACAATCAGTAGGTGGTGGTGCTACAATTTATGTGTCTCCTGTTAAGAGTGGTAAAATGGCCGATACACAGTAGTTGGTAAAGACAGGACATCAGTCCCCACCTGCCATGTTCTTCCTACTAATAAGATTCATTGCTGCCTTTAGTTCTGGGTAAGGTGTTTCACTTACTTCCAGTTGCAAGCTGGAGTTAATGAAGGACCAGTGACAACAAAATACACAGTCATGAAATTCAAAGTTTCCCCTAGTTCTGACTTGTACCATCTATAAGATAAGATCATCTATCTGAGCCAGGCTATGAATTTAGGCCTTGATTCAGGTGTTGGTTTAGACATGTGTTAAGCACATGGTCTATATTAGTGTGTCCTTAAGAAACAACAATTTAAATTGCATCGATTGTAGGCAGCTTAAGTATCATCTTAAAGGTAATCAAGTACTCAAGTACTTTGTGGATGTGGGGTCTTAACAGACCAGAGTGCCAGCCAGCTTAATGAGGTCCATTTGCAATATGGATGGAAAACAAATATTGAGACAGCCTGACTTTCCAAGGATTTAGCATGTCATGCTTGCTTATATCTGTCTTTAAAAATCAGGATAAGTCTTTTCTCCTAGTCTTTTTGTTCACATATTATACTTTTGTTCACATATTGTACTCACGGCTAAAATCAGACGATCTCTTTCAACTAAGTCAGCCAGTTTACTCAAGAGCCTTCCTCGCTCTGAAGCATCCATTGTACGCCAGGGTGATCCAAGCTCAAAAGCTTTTCTAGCTGCTTTAACAGCCTTGTCTACATCTGCCTGTGGGGAAAACAGAGAAATTTTTACAATCAATAGTTGATTCTGTCATTAGTCTTGTTGGTTGTTAAATGTACAAGGTGTTTTGCCAGATAAATGAGAGACACTAACCCCAATCTAATTAGAATCAGTACAGTAATTTTAAATACATGGGTTATTTTCTTTCAAACACTTCTGATCTCATTTCAGCAGTGTGAAGTTGTATGAGAAACAGATGGGTTCTCAAAGCTTCTAAAATAAAAACATATTAAGGAACTCTATTTTTAATATTTAGATTTTCAGTCCCTCTGCATTCTAGTGTCTGTAATTGGAGATACACCCACCAGTTACGCTACTGAAGAAATTTAATCTCTTTTATGTACAGAGAGATGCCCAAATCTGCAAATTAAATATTCTAGTACTCAAGGTGTGATGAAGACTAGACTAAAAAAATCTGTTCCTTAGAATGTTTCATAAAATGAATACAAATTTATTATTGAGGAAGACAAATCAACACATTCATTTTTGAAAATTTTAAGGAACTTTTGTTTTTAAAATAATTTTAACAATTGACTAGTTCACCAGGTTTAAAATGCTAAGTCTAAATATTCTGAAGTCTAAGCATTGTCTTTGCATTAAGCAAGCTAATTTGTCAGTCCATTAACATTTTTATAGCACAATTTATTATTTATCATTTGGTTTTCTATAGCAGGAAAATCTACAATGAAGTATATGAAACTCTCTTCTGTGAAAGTGTGTTCTAGGATACACAAAACCAATTAAAACTCTCTTAGGAAAAAGCTTTCAGTACTTGGAATTCTTCTATATTTCACAATCCTTGTAAAAGTTTTCCCAGGAAGACAATGACATGAAAACGAGGTTTATTTTAGGTTTTTTGTTAGAAATTTAAAACAAATTTCAAGAAAACAAAGGAGGACTCTATTCATGGCATATTTCCCTGAGCAATTTACGTGCATTGTTTGAAGGATTTCTTTCAAACTTTTCTTTGTACTGTCGATTGCTAGAGTATCCTCTGAGCAAATCATTATCAAGGTTGACTAAGTCAGCAAAGTTGACTAAGTCAACACCAAAGTCAATTGTTTGAAACGTGATCAAGTTCTTGAATCTTTAAACAATGTTGGTAGCCAACAACTACTTTTTAGAAGCAGGAATTGGAGTGGGTAAGTGGCTTGGAAAGTCCAGCACAGACCTGTTAGGCAGGAGGCCCACAAAACTTCCTCAAGTTCTTTCCAGAAAGTTTCAGAAAAGATAGGAAGGTTCTCTACAAATAGCACAGTCATTATTATAGTGTAACACTGACTAGTCATCTACATCAGGTAGCTGAAACCTACCAGACTGAAAAGAATTGCTTTTCTTCAGAATCTGTAAGAATGTTGTCAAATATCTCATCACTTATCTAAGACCCAGAAAACTGCATTCAATTAACATTTAATTATTTCTATTTTTTCCTTGTCTCTTTCTATCATAGATATTCTACAGCTTTTCAACATGGCTTGAGGAGTATGCCTTGACTTTTACTGGAAAAGAACAAGGGGAAACCATAAGTCGTACTTGTGTGAATGATGTAAGTTGAAACTAACTACAGCACCATGTGTTCTTTCTACTACAAGTGTAGATAGAATTAAAACCAAGAAAAAGTATATAAAGCTAATATAAGGCTGTGAATGAAAAGTAAGAAAAAAAATTTTCTTCTACTGTATGAAATTTAATTTGGGTACTTAAATCTACACCATGAGTATAAAGACAGATAGCTTCTTTCTAGTTTAGACTTTTACAGAATTACATTTGCTTTACATCCCACTGACCATTTGTTGAGCTGCTTTATTATTACTAGGGGCCTTTAGGATTATCAAATGTAGTTTGAAAGAGCCATCAAACTGAAATGAAAACACTTCCCACCCACACATGTGTCTGTGCTTTGTAATCTCCACTTGTTATTTTTAAATACCACTGCAAGGCAGTGTACAGCCTTTTGTCAACCCTATTGTACATACAAATTAAATTCCTAAAATCTCTTGGCTCATTATCTAAAGACTAGGCTCTAGAATATTAGGTTCACAATGACTGTGTAATTTACTAGATTTGAGCATTTCACTTGGCAATTTAGTTAATAGCAGTTGTCATTACACATTAGTTTGCAAAATTATTGGAGAGAAAACAAATCTGTGTGTCGAACAGTATCATCTCTTTATTTAGTGAGTTGTTAGATTGCTTGTAAGGAATGAAAACTACAAATATTCTGAATGCTAAGTAAGTGAACAGTTGCAGGTCATCGGTAATTTAATTTGAGGATAATCAAATATCAGGCCAACCTGATTTGCAATGTAATTTTGTCTTTAAACACTGAACAGTAAAGAGTTAGAAGTAGCATTTAAGATCAAAAACATGTATGATTCTAGCAGAATATGATTCAGAAGTTAACAGCATGCTTATGAAATTCTTTGGCTGAGGACAGAAAGAGCCTGAAATAAACGCAGTGACTCTGAGTGCTATATACAGGTAACTGGGACTAAAGAAAAGCAAGAACAAGGTGTTTGAAAAACTCCTGATTAAACATAAGAAATTATCAAAACCTAGATTCATGCAGATTTTCTCAGCCATCTTTGTCTAACAAAAAGTTTAAAATGTGTCTTCACTATGACCTTCTTGATAATATGTGGTCACTATTGCTCATGTGCTAGACAAAGCATTTGAGTCAAAGTTTATTAGGACATTCATGATGAAATTACAGAACAGATTAACTAAGATTCTGTGAGCACAGGATGATGAATGAACTGGATTTCTATGTATTTCTCAAAAGAGTATTTCATTTCAGTGTGAATCTTTGTACAGTAAATTAAAATATTCTGAAAGAGATTGTGCTTATTATGTTGGCAGTAAAGTTTTGGTGAACTTATAACACAGATAAACAGCTTATAAATTTTATAGTAGTTGTCATGGATAAAAATGTATTTAATGGACATTTTGCTGCTATGTTTAAAACATACTTGTTATATAAATTATTGTAGATACACATATTGCTTGACTAAAATGAGCATCAGATGTCATTTTGTGAAAAATGTGAGAAAATTTTCTCATTTTTGCATGTAAATGTTGACTTTGAAGGGGAAAGTATAGAAAATGAAATAAGTATTTGCAAGAACCAAAACAGTAATTATAAAACCAATTTTATATTCAGTCATAGTCATAACTTTTTCTATACCTGTGAACTGGAAATAGAACGTTCATGTCTCATACTTGCTTTCTCATAGTTTGTAAAAAAATTCCTTTAGTTGTCGGTTTTAAAACTGTTTAAGCAACATTGTCTGTTCTATTTAAAAAACTATCCCCTCTACTTGTTAACTTACATTTAAATTACGTGGTAGCACTAATTAAATCCTTTTCAGTGGATAAATGCATAAGAAAAATACAGAGCTGCTTATTTAAGGGCTTAGGTTTTCATAATATGTTTGATTGCATGACAACTATCTGTAATTTTCCACTAAGAAACCTCATAAACATAAAAAATAATTGTTTGTTTGTAAGTGTCAACAATCTTTTAAGTCCTTTACTTAAATTCATCAATTCAGCATGCTGTAAGGAAATGAGTTTTGGTGGAATTAGTGTCTATTTGATAGGTTACATTCAGTCTTTTTTAAAACTATGTTCCAGTACATTTTTCACAAAACCAGATATTTGAAGGGGCATTATTGAGAAGACGTATTCATAGCTACAAATGGTGATGGTAATGATCATACTCATAGAGTTTGTGTGCAAAATTACAAAAAAAAACCCAAAAAATTATTAGATGTCATGATCAAAGATAGCAAAAAGAATCAATATTAATAACAAAAAAAAATTAACAAAAAATATTTCTTCAGCACTTTTCCCATATGAAAAAATCCTAAGAGTAAAGTGTTTTTTCAACATCTGTTTACAAACAAAATTAAGGCTTAGCATAAAAACTAAGAATTATATTTGCAGAAGAAAGTATATGAGATGAAGTAGGTACATCTCTGAGGTAGTGTTTTACATCAACACAGGTGGACGCTTGCCTTGCTGCTTTTAAGACACAGAAAGAACTTAAATCTAGGGTTAAAAGCAAGAAAGAAAACCCTACCTTGTCACCTTCTTCAACCTCACAGATTTTCTCTTCATTTGCAGGGTTTAATACTTCAAATTTTTTACCACTGACCGAATCATGCCACTCATTGTTTATAAATATCTGCAGAGGAAAAAATAGTGCAACATGTTAGTAACATATATATAGCTTTTGTCTGTTATCTCTTTGGGGGAATAAATCTATCTTTCATAGTTTAGGCCTGCCTGATTGAAAGGTACCTGAATTAAAAATGGAATAGCTGTTTCTACATCATTCTGAAGAGATGAGTAATCACATATGCACTTAATCCGGAACAGTTTTTTAAAATTAACATCCTTTGTAGAGCCAAACTTTCTCTCTTCCATGATATTTTCACTTTGACTCATACCATAAAAAAAAACTGTTACAAAGCAGTCCTTCCTCTCTCAAACTGAAGTCTGTGATGTTCAAGGGAGCTACAGTTCTAATGACCTAAGTAATACTACCTGGGTTTCTTACGCTCACAGAGTTGGTAATGATGCAGGGCTTTTCTGCTACATGCCTCAACAGAAGTAAACCCAATCCTTGGGTTTAGTATATATAATACATGCAGTGTCTTGGAGAACACTATGTTATTTAGCTTTGCTTTGATTTCTCTTCACTCCCTCCTGTCAGAAAAAGAAAATCCCAACAAAAAATAATAAAGTCAAGACTAAAAAAACCCATCACAGTCAATTGAATGAAACAAAAAAAGAACCATTTAAACAGAGTAAAAAGCAAGCAAGTATTTTTCTCTATCTTCACGTTACAGGACAAAAATAATTAGAGATTAGGGAGGGGCTTTTTTATTTTTCGCCAAAATAGTTTGGGTTTGTGGATTGGTGCCTCATTGAATGTGTTCTAATCAAGATTAAAAAGTAGAAACACAGTGCTCTTAATCTGTTACAGAAAAAGCAGAATACATTCCATTAAATAAAAATAGTAATCATGAATCGAAAGGAAATGACTGATGTATTTGCCAAAAGTACACTGTTAGCAACCTTAGAGAAAACCTAGGCTGTCCTTGCTGTTGGTGCATTTCACAGAGACACCCTCTTAAAAACACACTTAGCAGCACATACTGGGAGAAAAGTGCGCTCTCATATACAGTTGTTGCCTTGAAAAACAGTTGGATTGCTTTATTGACGAAATCACAAACATCTATTTCTTTAATTGGTGTTTTTCTGCGTGTCTTAATCTTTCAAGGAAAGGAGGATTAGCCTTGCAGACTGAACCAGCACATACCAAAATGTTTACACTGACAAAGTTAAGTGTCCAGGAGCTGACAATGAGGGGAATTTCAAGCATGGCTTAGGGGCAGAAGATGACTGCGATGTTCACCTACACTTACAATGCTGTACACCTCAGTAAGTCCTAGATGAAAATATACGGGAAACTGGCACTTCTGATCATAGTTTTCAAGGTTAGTTCCTACTCCTTTACAAACACCATTAGCAGGATCTCAATGTGTATGTTTCCACATCACAATACTGTTATTTCCCAGGGATTATACTATGGGTGTCAGAAGTGGGGTTGTGCTATATTACCGCACCCAGCATGTGAATGTAGTCATACCAACATGCAGCAAATGTGGGTACTGACAGTGTACGTGCCCTCATTGCTTGGCAGGGTTACAGCTCATGGTCATGTGTATGAGGGGCTCTTTTCTCTTCCCTCCCTGTCTGAAGTTTCTCTGCAAAACACCAGGAATTCAGACCTCTCTGGGTTTGGTCTTCAGCACAAGCTGCAATTCCTGCTTTTGAAGGGTGAAGCTACTTGCCTTGTATGACTTCATGCTTTGACGAAATGATCCTTGGGTAACCGTTTTAGCTGTCATTGCTTTATAATTAGTAAGACTGTCTTCTGTTCAAGATGATCCTAACCATTTGATGTTATTCATTATTTATTCAGTAATTTCTATTAATATCCTGATTACCTCCAATTTAATGGTTACAGCTACCAAACGTTTTGTCACTCTGATATTGATGACACTTCTCTGACTCCCATTCAGCCTCTAGACATAAAATGCAAACATACTGCTACAAGTCTGACTATTACTGCCAATGTCTGACTATTATTGTTTGGACTGCAAGAGATATTACAGCAAACTAATATTATTTATGTCCATTTTGATAGTTGTTCATACTTCATTCCAATTCTGAGGATCTCTGTTATGTCTCTACACTGATTTCCCTCAGTAGACACTACCACTCTTGATTTTCTATCCTCCCAGACATCGTCTAACCCCTTTTACTAATCTATTGCCTTCATGTGGAACATCCATATTCCTGGAAAACCAGGCCAACACGCATTGCTCTTTTAACTGTTTTATCCTGACTTTCACCTGACAGGGACTGGAAAAAAAATCTAACATTAAAACCAAGAAATAAGCTAAAATTGTGCTTTCCTCAATCTTGCTAGAATATTCTGTGTTTTTATTTAATATCTTTCTATTTCAAACTTTTCATAGAATACCAAATATAGAACTGGCAATTAAGAAGCACAAAAGAACAACAATTGCACGGAAGGTGGCCTGCAGTAAAGTTCATCATAACAGCTTACCTAGCAGCAATGAAATTGATACCCAAGTTCATTTAACAAATGTTAGGAACTGAGTCCTTACTCGAAGATCAAACTTTTATACTGACTGAAAGCACATTGTGTACGGAATTTACAAATACCATCAGCTCTTGATTGCAACATTGCTGGTGCACTTAGAGTGAGATCTAAACAAAGCGAGATGGGTATTGTTGTTTCACATATTGAACTTTGATCTGTACCTTTTGTGGTATAATAATCCCAGAAGTTCATACCTAGACCCTTTTGTATGGGAATAAGTAATTGGCAAAGGTACTGTTACAGCTGAAAGAATAATTAAATGTTCGAAATTCTTATGAAGTTTAAATGACATCAGCGTCATACAAGAATACTTTCTGCAAAGACAGGACAAAATTGTAACCATGTCTGCTTTACTTTTAATTTTGTTGTCTGTTTGGTATGGCACTTTCCTTCTCTTTCAAGCTCTGGTGTCCTAGTTTCAGTTGTGCTGTATATCCCTTAAAACTATTTCCAAAGAGGATTTCAGAGGTGAGCAGTCCTGTCTAGGTTTTTAATTACTGAATATTAAGACTATTGACTAAATCTGTAGAAATTAGTCTGCCTTTCTATAAAAACAAACAAAAGCCCAAACAAACAAGGAAATAAACCACTGCAATTGTTCCTGAAAAAGCAGTATTTTTCAATTGTTGAGGGAAAATATGGCACCATACACACTATTCTAGAGGTAAATGTTGGTTTTTAAGAGGTGTACTTTATATAAATATTAAAATAACTATAACATTTCTGACTTTTCTCTTCTGTCATATTAAAGATGACACAAAATTAATTGATTCAGCAATTTCTAAGTGACAGAGAATAAACCAATCTACTACGTACATGCTCCAATTTAGTTGCAATTACTGAGAATTTATATGATATTACACAGCTGTGAAAATTTGGAGGACAAGCAGAGTGAAGGCTAAGGAGCTCTGGGTGAAATTTGAGGTACTGTTCTCCATTCACAAATGCAAAATAGGGCCTGGGCCTTACCCATAGGTGCATGGGATCTGTGCTACCCTAGAGCCTGCCATCTCTGAGACTGCTGGTAAAATTGTCAAAGTGGGTTAACTTTTTATTTATGACTCTGTAGGTTAGCCTTAAAACAGTATGTTTCATAATGTATACAGTCCAATGTTAACAGCACCTGTCATCCTGTCTCTAACCATCTCTGCAATCTCTGGGTTTGCGTCAGTGCTGAAATGGGATTGGCACCTCAAGTTTGGTAATAACTATCAAGATCAAAAAATTATCTCTAAATGGATATGGTAACAATTTGCTATTAATACGTTCCTGTTTGTTTCCGCTTCCTTCTGTGTGGGCATCATAAACAGGATGTCCTTGCTGCATCTGACCCTCAGGACGGAACAGCAAACTCCTGATTTAACAAAAGTTGTCAGGGAAATAAATATGTAAGTCGCTTGAAATTTCAGATATGTGATGAAGTTGATTATAGGAATATCCACAGAAAATTCTGACTGTTGTGAGAGGGCAAAGACAGCAGTTAGATGGTTAATAGAAAAAAAGCCATCTTTAGTAACTAGCTACATTGCCAAGAAAAGAGACAAAGTAAAAGGTAAATATTAACATAAGACTGCTATGATGTTACAGTATGCCAAATTCATATCTGTCTGTGAAAGGAATAATAGCAAAACATACCATTTTTGGAAGTTTTTAAAGTATTTGTTTAAATAGTACATTTATTGCACCAACCAATATCACCCATAATATTAGTTTAGAATATATTTCTTGTTAATGTTTCTAATACCATTCCCATTTAAAACATAACTTCATTATATTAAATATATACACAACATTTTATCAGGGTTGTATAAATCAAACTATCCAGATGTCTTTCATAAGCTAGATAGCAGGCTTGCATATGCAGGTATGAAAGACAGGAAAGAGAAGGAAAAAGCCAAAACTCTCCATGTAAGCAGTGTTACACACAATGCAAGCAGCTGCAATTATAAATGTTCATGCAGCCATGCTCATTTAATGCTGTGGAGGATGTATCGCAAATGAAGAGGATGTGGATGTCAAAATTCAGGCAACATTGAAGTACCAGCAAACAGCAGCCTCTGGTAACTCCTTTGTCTTACTGAAAAAAAAAACATTTGGGATCATCTTGCAATAGGCTACAGTGTTTTGTCTGTCAGTCAGAACTCCATTGGCAGCTTATATTTTTTTGTGCTGGTTTGCCAGACATAAATGCAAAAGACCTACCCATTTGTGGTATGTGCTGAGCAGGGGGTTGTCTGTGATGACTGACTATGGCCCATGAGGTTTAGGGCTGTAAATTTATTTTGCAAGGATTTAGAAATTTTGTTGCATGCATTTTATAACTGTTACTTCACTAGTATTTTTAGGAGAGAAGGTGCTTTTTATTTTAATAATCCAAAGAACCAATGACTTTCAGTCTTCTTTGCACTAGAACTGGAAATACACGTTTCTTGTAGAAGAGACTGTACACTACTAAAGCTCGATATTTAAAATAGAGCCCAGGTAACAGGCTATTGCAGTCAAAAACCTTCTGACTGGTTTTATTTCCCAGTATCAGAGTACAATAAAATCTTGATTCTCTGAAATGATTGATTCTAGTTCAGATAATCTGATACCATTCACCTTTTGGGGTTGAAGTTACCTGCAAGACTATTTCTGTCATTGTCTAGACAGTTGTTTGGTCACTCAAATGACCTGAGCAGAGAATGCAATAGAAGACCTGCTCTTTGCCTTTCTTTGTTATCCAAGTGTTTTTTTTTTCCTTCAGTCCTTGAGTATTTTGAAAGGACCATGAGTTTATTTTATAAAGTATCTGCAAGATGCGAAGTGCCATATCAGTGTCTGTGCTGCACATGCAAAGGAAGTATTTGACTCTGGACAGCTTTGTCTCAGATGGACCACACCATAGCCCTGCTGACATAGATTTTAGGGCCTCTACATTAGGTGTCATCACATTATGAAACAAAACTTCTTGCTGTATCTTCCTTAGAATAAGGATCTCCTTTTCCAATTTACTAGTCCCCAAATATGGCACAGAGTCTCACCGTATTCTTTAAGCAATACAGTTAAAATATGTGAAACTATTTAAGGAACTACTAAAGACTAAAATTGTAAGCTTTAAACAAATATATCAATATAGAATGCCTGCTGTGAAATCTCTTTTTTTCTCCAGGTTTTTTCCTTACAAGAAGTTGGTGGTTGGCTAATATTTCATGCAACTTCTTTTTTCCCCTCAGAATTTTTTGTTATTATTGATGCAGGAATTACATTTTACTGATACAATGAACTAATGATCAGAGAGCATACTCTTTCTATTCATGATTTATTTAAACATTTTGATTTGTCAGTTAGTGGTTTTGTATCTACAAAGTCAACTGTTCTTAAAAAGGGTTTGTTTCTACAGTACCTTTATAGCTGACTACCTTTCTCCAGATATTCTAATGAATTTTTTTGTGGTTTTACCCCTCATCCTTTTTTGTGAAGTTAGTGATTTCAGCATATGTGATACTTAGCTACAGTTTTTCTTCACTCAGAGTGGCTTACCCTTCCACACTTTCTGATACCCCATGTGCAGCTTAGCGAGAGAATGTGTTGCCGTTTTCTCCCCTTAATGTAATTTGACAACCTAATAATTAACTAATCCAAGTTTCTCTGATTAAAGGAGTACCACAGGGCTTAGTGTATGTGAAAGCACCATGACAGAAATAATTTGTGAAACAATCATTGTCTAATTCCTCAGTATTGACTAAGTAAAATATTTACTAGTACATGAGCTACCAACACTCATTCAGTTCACTGGAGTATCTTTAAAGGAGATTCAGATATGAAACCAATTCAAGATTACTTTGTGGTTCAACATCAAAGCCAATTTAACTATTTAAAATGCATTCAATTTAATTCTTGAAAATTGAATTCGCTGAAGAGTGCTTAGTTTTATGCTGTATGTGAAAGGCATACTCTGAAAGGTACCTATACCAACCTATAGATCCATAGACATACGGAAATACCTAGTTAAATGATCTCTGTAAAGGGCCCAAAATGGTCCCTGTCATAGAAAATAAAATACAGAGAGTGTTAAGCAAGAAGAAAGTCCTTGGAACATCTGCAGATCTTTCTTCAGATCCTTGTTGATGTTGGCTGTTGATATCATACCATGGCAGAAAAGGTAAAAATTGAGTTTCCAGAACTGGGTGATCTGCTGATGTTCAAGGTGCTTCGAACAGAAAGATTCATATGTCAGCAGTAGTTAGTGGTTTCCTCATCTTGATCCTTCCAACATAACTCGTTCAAAAAATAATCCCACACCACACATTCTAACTTGTATAGGATAGGAGAGGAACAGGATGGGTCAAGAGTGGAAAGGTTTTATTAAATTGTGGGATGACTGCTGGATATGGGATTACATTTCTGTTATCCCATCTCCCTGTCCCTCAACACACTGTTGTGGCTTTCAGACAAGCCTGTGTGGTATTTGAAGAGAGGAGGAAAGCATTGCAAAAGTCAAACTTCCACAGGGATGTGTTGGATTTGATCACTTGTAGGTATAGACACTCGCAAACAAGCCCATTGCATTTCTGCACAGTTACACACTATATGCAGTTTTTAAGGAAATGGTATCTACTGTCAAGGCAAAAGAAATACTCATTTGCCATGTGACATTCTCATCAACTGCACACTATAGGTATTTCAAGTGTGCTAGCTGTCTTGTGGTTGTTTTTCATATTAATGGAACAGACTTTTGCTAACTAAATCTTTTAGTAGAAATGTTTACAGGAATTTACGTCTTGCATATTCAGTTTCATCAGATTTCTGAGCTGGCATTTTGCTCATATTATTGTTGTTTTCTTTTGGGAAAATAAAAAATCAAACAAATAGCACTGTGGTTTCTAGAACACCACTGTGACCTAGGTACTGAAGTATTTTCTTTGAATTAAGCTTTTTTCTTTTTCTGAGACAGGAAGAGCAGTAGAGAGCTATCACATGACAGAACTACATAGCTTTCATAGTCTGTTAAATATTTACAAAGTAAGGTCCAGTGTGATTTATTCAAGACAGACATGCATTGAATTCTGCTTAGGCTTTTTAGATAAAAAAAAGGGGTTGAATGGAATTCAAAAGGACTAATCTAGATGATCGCTGAACACCTTGCTTTTGGTAAAGAAAATAAGCAGTGATTCTAGAAAATGAATTTTTTTTTCCATTACAATGGTAATGAGAAAAAAAAAAGATCAGTAACTGAGGAGTCCCCAAAGAGAAGAGATCCTTTCTGATCAATTCTTCCACCTGCATGTTTCAGAGGGCAGAGTTTCAATATTTTCTGACAACAGTTTGTTCAAAGTTCTTGCAGATATCTGTGAACTATGTTATAAAACAGCCGAAGAGTCTTTTCAAGCTGGGAACATGAGTCTGGATTCAGACTTTCTTTATCTGTATATTTCTAACTGCGTATTGAAAGAATTTGCTATTACAAAATGTTTATGGTAATATTGAGTAATTAATGATGGTAGATGTTATCTGTTTTGTTGATAGTTACTTGTTTAAGCCGAAAGAGAGATTCATTATCTCTAAGAAAAATATGTGAGTGGAATGAATTTTATTTTAGTTTCATTTTCACACATCTCTTTTCAACATAAGCTTATTTGGTACAACAATTTTAATCTGATTGTAATATGATGCAATATGCTAACATTTTAATTTGTACTTGCTGTTCTGAAAAATAATGTAGTAACAGAAACTTTTCCTTTTTTTCTCCATTTATGCTTTCTGAGAAACTTATCACAGCAGAAAGTTAGTTTCAGAAGAAAAACAGCACCCACCCCAAATGAAACATGAAATTATTCTATCACACTTGCACACTTCCTGAAATACTTAGGTTAAAAGGATCGCTGAACATTAACTGCCGATATGTACAGTATCAGAAACAGATCAGAATAAACATTTTAAGCATGCATTTACAGTTACTTCCACAGTTCATATAAGATCAAATTGAGCACATCCTACTGTCTGAGCTGAATGCATAAGAAATGTTAAGAAATGCAAATGCTACTAACCTTGGTGTACTTAATTTTTAGATCTCTGAGTGGTTCTGGCAGTACTGGCAAAACTGGAGCAGGACTGCTGTCTGAACCTTGCTTCTTCATATTTTCAGTTGAGGAGTTTGAGGACGTCCCTGGAACACAGGTGAAACGAGGTATAAGGGAAGTGCAGTGATTTTTGTCCTGACTGAGCTCTTAGCTTTATTTGTGCTTTTTTATCTGTACCAGCTATGGTATATTTGCATACAGGAATATGATTGGATGAAAGAATTCATTGCAAACAGAAAATGACACTACTTATTTTTAAGACCAAAAGCAGTAGCCTTTTCACTGAGATGAGACCTCGATGAAGCAAACGCTGCTGAAACAATCTGCTTAGCCAGACACTAAAAATTTCTTACTGGGAAATACAGCTTAAGGTCTCCTTGTCTTACCTGTAAAACTGCTTTCCCTCAGCAGGCAGATCCTCAGATTTTAAGTGAAGTTCTTCACGTACCTGAAGGCAGCGCTGAAGGTAAAGACAGACTTCTTCACTCTGGAAACAAACTAAGTCCTTCTCACTGAAGAGTTGGTGAATAATTCCCAGAGCTGGAAAGCATTCACTGAGAAACAAGCCACCTTAGGTTGTGCTTTAATATGTTCACAGTACATTATAATTCCTCTAATTAATACCTGCTTTGTAGATCACAGAGATAAGAGATGACTATGATAACACAAAATTCTTTATAGGTTTTTCAAGCAATGTGAAGGTAGGAAAAAATTGACTGATACTGAAAAAATACTCTATGGATAGAGCCAAGTAAAGTCTTGCTTTTTTCCAGACAGCACCACAATTTTAAGGACAAAATTTTTACTACATTGCCCTTTGGAAAATCTGAGTTTGTGCCTTTCAAAACAAAATTATTTAACAGACAGGAATTTTCTATCCAGGGTGGAACACACTGGTACATATGTGTCCACTTCTGATTATTCAATGAGAAGCGTATCTGTACTACTCACAAACCATTTTATAAAGTACAAGAAGCTCCTTCCTTCATTAAGTCCTACCTTTTCTGATGAATTAGATCACAGAACAAACTGGGACTGAATTAGAACTTGTTTTTATATGCTAAGCTTTTGGTATATGAACAGTGGATTTGTGACATAGAAATAGAGAGAAATAATTTTATTGCTTTCATTGAGACTACACAGATGCTTGAAAAACTCACTGAGCTCAGTTAATTCATGTATCAGGCGACATCTAAACCATCTAGCAATGAAGGCTTTGTTGCTTTTAACTGAGGGATGATATAGGGCGTATCATGAGATTAATCTTACAATGCATTAATTACACATAACATACTTTCTGAATTAAAGAACATGCTATAATTATCATTGATGACCTTGTGTTTGGACATATGGTTGGAGCAAGAGTTTCTGGCCTTTAGAAAAGTCCAAGTAGTTGGCTGGCTCAAGATATCCCAAGGTAAAATGATATATTTGAAAGTTTTGTGAACAGCACTTTCAGACCTTAACATTTTGGGTTACAGTATTTGACTGCCTTAGAGAATGTCTTTGAGTCTCATGAAAAAAGACAATATCTAAATACAGTTTGTTCACTTTTATTTGGAATATAGCTTTCCAGTGCTATCCTCACATAGCAAATTTTTGTGGTTTTCCTTTTTTTTTTTTTTTTAAATTTCCATGTAATTTTCTGGTTTAGACACTAAAGTCTACTCTAATAATCTTCCTGCCACCCATTTCTCCATTAATCCACAAAGAGTTTGTCTCTAGTTAATTTGCCTGCTAATTGCTCAGATTTGCCTAACTTAGAGTCTAACTGGAGCTGTAGGACAGAGATCAGTGGAGTTGTCTGGTTTCAAGCAAAGCGAAAAGTCTTTCTCCCAAGCAGGAGTGGTCTAAATATGTTTTCATATTTAGGTACCATTGCATTCATGAATTATTTTTTTTTTAATGATTAAGTTAGAAGTGAATTATGATAACTTCTTTGGAATGATAGCATTTTTCCTCTTCCTGTATCTATAAGGACAGCATGAAATCTGCTTAGACAGGCTTTAGAGGTACTACCCTGGGTGAAAAGTTCCAACTTTTCAAAACATGCTGATAATCATTGCTTTATTTTCCACACCATTCATCCATTTAACGCATGCTTTACCCTCTTTTTTCCTTTCTGTTTCCCTCTTTCACTCTTGGATTGTACGAATCACCTTCACTACCACGCTTCCTGTGAGTCCTTTCTTTTCTCTCTAAACCTTGTGTATTGTTAAAAAAGTCTCATCTCTTAAAAAGATTACTCGCTACCTTGAGCAATCTGCTTGTCCTATCTTGGGGCTTTATCTGCTGAGATTTGCTCCAAGCATTACCATTAATGTCAACAATTCCTTTAACTTCTCTGTGTTCTTATATCTGTGAATGCCTGACTCCCCTCCCTTTTCCCAGGAAATTCTAACTACTGCTTAGGGTAGCTGTTCATGACCACCCCAGTCATCTCCCATCTGATAACTTTCCCACTCACTTCCAATCTAGGATTCCTTTTACCCTAGTGTAGAAATTATTTCCTTTTCCTCACATCCTGTGTTACTGTTTATTACAACTTTGTGCTATTTTCGTTCTGCGACTTTTTTCCCCCAACCTGCGTCACTACTATTATGCATTTCACCTAGATAAAGATATGCACTTCAAGCACTATAACTTTAGCGGATTGTACTATTGTTTCAAATAGTGGATTATACCACACTTGGATATTGCATATATTGTATGTGGAAGTTTACATAGTTTTGTTGTTAATACTTTAGTGGAAGATGTTAGATTCTATCTATTTTTTTCCCTTCTTCTGGTCAATGGTGTGATTGTTACTTGTTATCTTTTCACTGCCAAGGAATGAACCTTAGCCACTCCACACCTTGGAGAACTACATGATATAGTATATGATGAAGTGATAGTGCTCTCTACACTGTAATTCATAACATTTCTCCCAGTTTTAAACCTACTGAGTTCTTCTATTCAAACAAGATCAAAGAGTAACAAACAAAAGGTAATGGTTCACCATGCAAGTAATTAAGCTATGTGTTGCCTTGCTGCATGACATTGGTGGTGCTAAAATGCAAGATTGAGGGCTGCATGAACTTTTGATCTGACTTATATCATTCTATGTCAGTAAGTTAAGTGAAAGTTTTATGCTCGAAGAAGCTGTAAATCATTTGTCCATCTGTTTCTTCACAAAGATTTGAAAAAAATTAACAACTAACCAAACACAGCACTCCAGAGTACAAGTAACCTTTCTTCTCTGATGTGATCATACAGTGGGTGATAACCTTTCTCCTCAGATATGATCATACAGCCAAAGTTGTTAGCAGTTACTTTTTGGTTGGGTTCATAGCAGTCTAGGTAGGCAAACTATTTGGCCTGAATTCTTGAGATTTGTTGCAGCCTCATATTCATGCCATGAGATACAATTTAATAGCCAGCAACACACAGACAAAAGCAGAGCTTTTAGTTGGGCTAGCTGGCAATCCAACTAATGAAATCAGCTGGTCACAAGAATCAGCCAAAGGCAACCCGTGACTGGATTCTTTTCCATAAACACAATACTTGCACTATCTGAAATGCCCTGGCCCGTCCCAGCTGCCCTGGGATGTCAGTCCAGGAGACTCCTGTAGATCCTCTGTCACCTTGTCAAAGTCATATCAGTGTCTTCAAAACCTTTGTGCTGCTCAAATGGCACTTGATGCCTATATCAAAGGAAATGACTTGACCAGAAAGTTTATGATTCTACTCGGTATTTTTATGTTAGTGTGTGCTCAGCTAATACAGTCTGAAAGCCATATATTTGTTATAGAAATCCACCTTCCAGCATTTAATAGATAAATACTTAGTTCATATAATAGAAGAAGATTATTCTGAGAATAGAATTACCCAGAAATTACTTTGACTTTTCTAAAGTCCAGAAACTGTTGGGTTATTTTTTCCCCAGAAGTAGGCACAAGCTTGTCTTTTTCCAAAGCAGTATTTTTTTTTTCTTTTTTTTTTTTTTTTTTTTTGAATGACTGCCAAACTATCTTCCCGGTTCCCACAGTCTGGATGTCTCCATTCTCCAGCAATAGGGGACAGGTGACTTACTCTTTGTGTAGTGCTGAGATCGTGATCACAGCAGTAAGAAATTCTGGTCCATAGGATTCTACAGAAAGCAGACCTTGCCCTTCAAAATATATATTTGATCATTAGGGAAATCTAACTATTATCTTGTACTAGACATGCTCAAAGCTGTGTAGATCAGATAAGACTCCGTATGTCCGGCTTGGACCGCCTCTAATATAGGACAGTCCAAGGATCTTATTGCAGGCAAATAGACAGTAGATGCTCCTTACTTTTGGGTTTTCATCATTTATATCTCTAGGAATGTTCCAAATTGCACATCTTTGTCATCAGATGATCTATCAAAATTACACCTTGAATTGCATAACAATTATGCCTTCTAGAAGGTGGCATAACAATGTAAGTAACCTCCAAAAAGTTGCAATTGCTGTAATTCAAAACACTTAAGGCGAATAATCTTCCATGGTGGTGTAGGGCACAGTTGTCAAAAGTTCCCTGGAATAAGAGATGAACAGAATAGGCTGCTGCGCTCACAGTTTGGTAGCTGTATTGTAACATCTGTGCTGAATTTAGACAGAGCCTTTAATGCTTAAGTACATGTTTACACTTTATAAAACCTTATCATAAAAAAAAAATCACTTGAAAAATCTCTATTGGTACAATATCACTGTTACTGAAAATCCTGATTAGCTGAACCACTTCTTCCAAACTCAAATTATACAGGCAGTTAAGAAAGGGAATTATTCAGTGATTCATACAGAGCCCCTGCTGGTACTGACAGAAACTGGTGTTAAGTTAGGTGTGGAAGGTGTAAGTGTTAAAACCACAAAAATACATTTTAAAAGTGGAAATCATTGAGATTCATGAAAACACCGGACTCTTGCTGTGAAATGCTTTGTTCACTTTGTTAATCTTCCTTATGAAATCCCATTCATGGCAATAGAACAGAAACAGTGGTCACTGTTTAGTGTGATGTTGAAAGGTAGACACATCAGAAACTAGGCAGAACTGGTGTGAAATTTGTGCCATCTTTTCCCTTCTAAACTGAGAGTCCAAAGGTGCATGGAATGTACAAGCTCTGGTAACTC